AAACTTTCTGAACCCTGGGTATTAAGAAACTTCTTTCCACCTTTTCCTTTGGGAGGCATGCATGTGTGTCATACACAAACATATACTCATGTTTATATGTGTGCAAGTGTGCTTGGAGGTCAGGGGTTTGTGTCTTATTCGATTGTGTTCCATTTAATTTCCTGAGACAATCTCATTGAGTCCAGAAGTGTTGATTAGACTAGTGTATCCAGTTCACCCCAGGGAATCCCATCTCTATCTTTTTAGGCATGGAAATATAGCTGAGGCACCATGCCTGTCTGGTTCTTATGTGCATAGGGCTTATGTGGCAAGTACTTTACCTACTAACCCATCTCCCCAGGCTATAAAAATATAAATTATAAGTTTGTATTAAGACAGAATCTGATCAGCTCTCAATGAAAAGTAACTAAACAGGCAGTGGCAGTGCATGCCTTTAATTCCAGCACTCAGAGGCCAGCCTGGTCTACAGAGTCAGTTCCAAGACAGCCAAGGTTGTTACACAGAGAAACTGTCTTGAAAAACAAAACAAGCAAAGGAAAGGGGAAAAAGTAACTAACCTGTTGTAAAAGGGTTTCAGAGAGCACAGTGAGGTAGTATCAACTCCAAGAACAAGAGCTGAAATTTTCTGAGAATTTCCTAGGTACCAGACACAGTTCTGAGTGTCTTTTAAGATTTTTGATGAAGTTCTTACTGGTAAAAATGTCAAAAAAAGTCATATGCTTCATTAATGCTACTATTTATAACATGATAATATGATGAATTTGTGTGCTTTTCATAGATTTGACACAACATATCCAGAACTGAGGAAATGAGAAGGTGACGAAGGTTACTTGGACCCTGAGAATATCACAACAGAGAAATTCAGTGGATTGCTAAAGTTACAAATTAATACATGGTCCAGCCAGTCTCCAAGGTGAGGAGGGAGGGATTCAGAGCTTAGTAGTATTTCTCAGAAGGCAGATACTACTGAAAGCGGTATGAATCTAGTGTGCTGGCTGGTTTTATGTCCACTTGACACAAGTTAGTGTCATCTGAGAGGAGGGAACCTCAAATGAGAAAATGCCTCCATGTGGTTCTGGCTGTAAGCAAGCCTGTAGGGCATTTTCTTAATTACTGATTTATGTGGGGGAACCTAGTCATTGTGGGTGGTGCAATCCCTGGGCTGGTGGTCCTACATTCTCTAAGAAAGTAGGCTGAACAAGCCATGGGAAAGCAAGCCAGTAAGCAGCACTCTCCATGGCCTCTGCATCAGCACCTGCCTCCAGTTCCCACCTTCTGTGAGTTCCTGTCCTGACTGCTTTTGATGATGAACTTTTGATGATGGAACTGAGTGAAACAAAACCTTTCCTCCCAGCTTGCTTTCGGTCATGGTGTTTAATCACAGCAATGGTTACCCTAACCAAGACACCTAGGAAACACAATCAAGTTCGAGTTCATACTGTATCTTGCTTACCTTAAAGAGATTGGAACATCAGATATCCTTAAAATCTGTCCAAAACAGACAATATTACACTTGCCCCAATAGGGGGAATATGGATTAATAGTAGAGATACTGATATAACACAAAAAAATGTTAGATGGGCTTAAAGTTACAGAGATTTTACATTTTAACAACATACATTAAAAAGAACAGGCGTTTTTTATCTTGACAAAAAAGAGCGAAAGTAGTGAGGCTCTCAGTGCAGTTGGCAGAGCACTTGCTTAGCTCAAGCAAGGCCCTAGGTTCAGTCCCCACCACCGTGGTAACAAAGAAAAGCACCTCAAAATGAGAACTGTTCACTTTCCTGTCCTTTAGCACTATTCGTCTCAAATGCCACCTTGGTAAATAAAACTAAAGCAAAACTTGAACTGCCCCATAAAATCTGCAAAACTTAAGAGACTGGTCATCACTTGGTTCTCAGGACATAATAAAGTCCCTGAAAAGCAAAGCAATTATCATATCAAATGTTATATGGAACGACTTTCAACATGAGCAGCATCCCAAACATTTTATAGTGATGAGAGAAACTCAACGATACTTTACACTGGCTCCAAGTGTTGACTATATGCAAAATCTAGACTTACAGTGACACCTACAGGCCAAGAAAAGAATGTTAATGATAGCACATTTTATTAAATGCTTTGATGTTTTCTAATGAACACTTAAAAGAAAAGTAAATTTCATATAATTTACTTTCATATTTAATTCATGAAATGCAATTCCTGTCAAAAAGCTAGCATATTCCTATCCTCTCGATTTTTAGTACCTAATAGAATATCATTTTATTTCAATAACCCCTAAAATTGTGGAAGTAGTTTCAAAAAAAAAATCAATAAGCCGGGCGTTGGTGGCACACGCCTTTAATCCCAGCACTCAGGAGGCAAAGGCAGGCGGATCTCTGTGAGTTCGAGGCCAGCCTGGTCTCCAGAGTGAGTACCAGGATAGGCTCCAAAGCTACACAACCCTGTAAAAAAAAAAAAAAAAGAAAGAAAGAAAGAAAGAAAAGAAAGAAAGAAAGAAACCAATATCCCCCTTCTTTTGTATTTGTGATGGACAGTCTCAATTGACAACTTGATGAGATTGGAACCACCTGGACGACAATCACCCTAGATACATGTAAGGAATTATCTTGTTTAGAGTGACTGGGGCAGAAAGCACTCCCACTGCTTGGATCCTGAACTGTATAAAAAGGAGACTGTGAATTGACAAGTGTCCACTACTCTCTGCTTCCTAACTACAGATAGGAGGTGACAGTGCTGCCATGGTTTCCTTGCTATGATAGACTGTACCTTGGACCTAGGAGCCAAAATAGCCTTTAGTTGCTTTTGTTAAGGGTTTTAAACACAGGAATAAAAAAAGTAACTAAGGTGATATGTAATGACCATATATATATACATACATATATATATATATATTTGTGTATGTACACATATATACCATATGCACATATAAGTATACATACATATATATATTTGTGTATGTACACATATATACCATATGCACATATAAGTATATATTATTTTCAATTTAATACTCATCATCTTAATTAAATGTCATTATCTTCTCTTCCAAATTTGTACCTGCAGACATGTAACAATTGTGGAGTGCCCTTCTTCAACATACTGTACTTTTGCCAACTGATGATATCCTCGCATTAGTCCTTGAGTGATATCTTATTCATGTACCCCTTTCATGAATACTGAGAAGGAAGCACAGGAACTTGAATAAGCAGTAGAGTCAGGGCTCACACTGGGGAAATTAGTCCTCAGTACCTACAGCATGCAAATATGCTTCTCATTGGTACACCCAGCATTTGTAAAATGCAAGTTTTGCTCCTGTAAAACATTTTCAAATGCTACTGAACTTACATCAACATTTTTAATAACTACAGGTTTGCTATTAACTTGATTCCACTCATCTTACTTACATTATTTATACGTGGACTTTGAGCTGACTTCTGATTTGCTCTTAATATATAGAGGAACATGCTAGCTATTAAAAAATTATATTCTGTTCAAAACTTTTCCTCCTTTTGGATTTTATTTCCTGGTGCTAATATTTCCCAAATGGGCAGACTAGCATAGACATACAAAAACACCTCATTGCTGGTCTGTAATATTCCATAAGGCTTTTGAAATCTCATCACAATGTTACAAGCAAAGAAATGATACTGGGAGGTCTTTCTAATAAATACATCATCCCTCTTTACCCAAATTTAAGTGAAATAACACTATTAAGATGATTTATGGTGTGGGACAAATAAAACAAACCATCAAACATTAAGATTACCAAACGGACAAAATGTTTTCTTTTTGTAGCATAAAACACAGAGACAATTCTGTGGTAACTTAGCAAATTGATAGTCTTTATTTCCAAAAGAATCAATACCATATCCAATGTGTGGGAGAGGGGATCTGAGTAGACCTGAGTGTAAAATCTGAGGTTTAGGTAATAGAAAACATAACAAAAAATTAGGGTATTAGGTACAAAACTTGTATAAAAAGGTTAATGAAAACTTTCAGTCTTCCTCAAAGATGATGTCATATGTCAGTTACTGTAAGAACAGGCCATATTCCCTTGCATGTTTTTGTGACCAGCCGCCCCAAACAGGGAAGGATGGCACTTCGCTCACCCTGTCACCATGGTTTTGATGTCACCTAACTATCTCTTTTTAAGCAAAGTAGAGGGCATTCTCGCTTTACATGTCACTCTTGAGTGTAAGCCACTGCAGCCAGGGGGCCCAGAGTAGTATTCTAAAGACTGCACCGTCATAACTGGAGCAAAAGTCCCTGAAACATAAGGAAAGACTACAGTCACACAGCTTTAAACCAGTAACTCTCAACTTTCCTGATGCAGGGACCCTATAATACAGTTCCTTATGTTGTGCTAATCCCCTACCATACAATTATTTTCGTTGCTACTTCATACCTGTAATTTTGCTACTGTTATGAAGCATAATGTAAATATTTTTTAGATAGTTAACGAAAGGGTCACAACTCAACCTTGAAAACCACTGCCTTAGACCTTTGACTCCTCAACTATTATGAGTGAACACAAGACTTTAGTGGAAATATTTAAACTGAGACACTGACATTTACTTTATTTCATCAAATATTGAACCTCTCAGGATACTGTGAAAATTGAAGGTGGCAGCAATCATGAAGCTCAAGGCAGAGGCCCTAGAAACAGCAGCTACTCTGGTAAGGATAAATCTTTCTGCCAGCCACCTGAGCCCAGCCACCATGTGGGCACCCAAAATAACACACACAGATTAATATTAGGTACAATGCTGCCAGCCAATAACTAGGATTTCTTAATTGCTCTATCTTATCAACCATAACCATTAATCTACATATTTTATAAAGACTTATCTTATCGAGGATGCCAGCGGAATGCGTCCTCTTCCCAGGATGACATAGAGACTCCAGAGATGAGAGGAGGGAGAGATTTCCTGCTTGTCCCTGCTTATATTCTGAGTCTGCCTACTATGTCACTTCCTGCCTGGATCACAAGACTTCTCTTTACTACATTTCCCAGAATCCTCCTCCACTCCTAGTCCCATCTATCTTGCTTTTCTATTGGCCAACAGTGCTTTATTTATCAACCAATAAGACAAACATATACACAGAAGGACTTCCCCCATCATACCCTTTCTTCAGAATGGCAGGCACATGACTACGTCACAGTCATTGGTTTAAACATCACCTTTCATCATTTCCCTCAGACAAACAGTAGCATAACATGAAGCATCGAGATCAAAGGAGATGGACAGAGATGAGGTTGCATCATTGTCATGGGAACCTTCCACTTTATCATTGATGTCTGAATGGACTAGTTGGTATGACACATTGTGGGGATATTTCAAGATGTGCCTGTAGCATCCTGGTACATTCAGCTTCAGGGCAGGCACTCTAAACCTACAGGCCTGCAGTCCATCCCTGCTGAGGACTCCTTGGTACCACTGCCCTAATTTGTTGTCTGGGTACTGAATGTTGTATCCAAGTACTGGCAGAACCACCTGGGTAGGGCAGGGAGAAACCACAAAACATGGGTTAGCCCTCAGAAAGATATGCCATCATATTCTACCTTTATGACTACAACCCAGATGCCTTAAACTTATGACTACAACCCAGATTTGTAAAAAGAGTATTAGGCTATAAATAGGACAGTTGGCCTAAGACATTTTGAATACTACATAGAATATTTTTAATGCTATCTGGTAAAGAAAAAAGCTAACCAAAGACTTGGAAGAGTTAAGGCCATCCGCTTACATCAGGTATTACAGAGCAAACCAAAATTCAAAAACAAAGGTTGAATTCATTATCCAGTAAGGAGTCGATCTCCAAAAGCATGCAATCCAAAAGCAGTCTTCTGTGACACACAAAACTGTCTCTACTGCTAGCCACTGCTATTTTGGGTGACAATCTGAAATTCCTTTTAATAAAAAGCAACATTATCAACCGACAGGAAATACTTTAATTTTGCCAGTTGCATGTGCATGAGGAAATCTGCGATCTGTAGAGGTCTTCTCCTTTGCTGACCACTAGACAGTATGCTTGAATACTAAAAAGTACTTAGAAAAACGGACAGAATCCTCAAATACATAAATGAATCTCAAAGAAGCCAGACACAGAAAGGTGAGGCAGGGGTATAAGTTGTAATCCAGGCTGGGCTATAGCCTGGGCTTCAGTAACTTGATTTGCTTGTGACCCATATTATCTAAGAAAATTGTATATGATTCTAAGCATATAACTCTATAAAATTGGTATAAAAGTCAAACATTTACATTAAGATAATAAATCATAAAAGGTTTATTCCAAGATGATTCTTTGTTATAGATATACTTCTGTCATTCATTAAAGACAATTTAATTATCATTAAATTATTAAAGCAAACTTGCCTACCAACGAGATAATATGTTGTTTATTCTCATATTAAGCATTTAATATTGCCTGGATATTTGAAACAGTAGGATGTAAAGCATTTTCAGTGTTTTTCAGAGTTGACAGACATTTGGATTTTGCAATCCTTGGTGCAAAGAGTACTGCTTCACATAAACCCACAGCACAAAATAGCAGAAGTATATTTAGAGCCTTTCCATAAAGAGTTGGGAATTCTGTCCTAATCCTGAGTCAAAACTCATTTTACTATCTTTTTTATGACACTCAGGTCAGCAACCAAAACAGCAATTTTTAAAATCAAGTATGCTAACACAATACAGACCAATCACATATTAAGTTAATATTCACATGCTGATGATGGTAAAAAATAATAATTTTCCAGAAGTAAGCCATTATGCTTTTTTAAGAATAGAAAACTTTGTATGTATAGTAAAAGCTACAGTTACTAATATGTAATAGTGTGGAATCTGAACTGAGGTGTTTCAGGCATCACCATCACCATCATCATCATCACCATTATTACCATCATCATCACCATCATCAATCATCATCATCATCACCATCATCACCATCATCATCTACAATGCTGGTCAGGATGGTGCACACAGGGCAAAGTGTATGTGTTGCTGCACAGAGCCAAGTCTTCAGTAAAGCCACACGACACAACACTGGTAAATTCTTCTAGAAATACCTTGGATCCATTATGCATTTGATTTTCAATTAATTTTCTGTCACTATGCATTCAGATACCTTGTATTACAAAAATTTTTCACAACCCCCACATTGAGTCATAGGATCACAACCCAAGGTCTAAGAAGCTGAAATATAGAAAGATCCACATATATATTGTGTAAATCTATTTATGTAACATTTTTTCAAACATAAAATCACAATGATAGAAATAAATCAGTGGTTCCCATGAAATAGGATCAATGCAACCCAGGAAATAGGACTAATGTAGGGGTCAAACACTGGGAAACATTGGAGGGAGATGTGAACATTGGGAAATCTGAAAGAGACATGAAACTATTCTTACTTAATGTTGAATTTTTTCAGTATCCTTATGATTATATATATTTATCAAAAGCAAGCATAAATTAAATTATTAGGGTTTAGATTATAGCATAATAAGTTTAGTAGAAGCATAAATGCATTAAAGGAGCATAAATTACTAGGATATAAAATATAACAATTTAAAAGTTCTCTAGGAAGGGAGGATTTGTCTTTAAGGGACAATGCTTATTCAAATCTACATGGCGGGAACTTTTAACCAAACTTACCTGGTGTATTGCATATGTCCTAGCTGATTCCTCTTGTTTGGTCACCAGATGAACCTAGTTTCATAAAATAGGATGGGAATGAGTGTTTTCCAAGTGTTCAGATTACCTAGGTGTTTCCTAATTCTGATTCATACACTGAATATATATATGTTCAGATACAATCTTTTTATAATAACTTGTCTCCACGACCCCACGACATAAAAAACAGACCAATTCTTTCTGCTTTAACCACATACTACTGAAGCTGGAAGGCAGCAACAATGGCTGCCCTGGGGTGACACTTTCCTCAGTCACCAACAAATGATGCCAAACCGAAAGTCTGCTTCTGTACAGCCAGCCCCTACCTTCAACCGTCCCTGTCCCCAGCAAACACAGCGACATTTTATTCAGTCATGGGTTTTGTGGGTGTTTATTTCAGAGGACAGTGGTAGGCATCTGAGACCAGAAGAGAAAGAGATGTGTGATAATTAAGTTTGAGAAACTTTGCTCCACAACATCACAGAATACACAACCCTCGGCTGGAGAGATGCTCAGCTGTTAGAAGCACTGCTCTTGCAGAGGACAGGCTTGGAGATGCAGCTGTGCCAAAATAAACGATGAGTTTTCAGACAGAGGGCTGATAAACTCCTGCTGGATTTTTCTCTTAATTAGTTTGAGGGAGATTTCTATTACCTGAAACCAATTAGCCTTAATTCATACATGTGGAGTCCATCGTTGATGTAGGTAAAGCTTTCTTTATGCAGAGCTTAGTTTACTTTTCCTTTATATTTGAAGGGCTGGGCCATGATGTACCTCTACTAGCTTATTCCCAGGTCTACCTTCAGATTCCTCCAGAGGAGACCCACTTAGACTCCTGGGTCTTTTTAGATGCATTAAATAGATGATTCTGAATTTTTCCTTCCCCATCTCAGCCTTAGTTCTCACTCCTATAGAATAGAAGTTCAAGGACCAGACCTCTGAAATCCTTTACTCCCTTAAAATCCAACAGTTTTGCCACATACAACATGAAGCATCACTTGGGGTCTTGTCCTTGGTTTTATCCCTGTTATAACTGACTTAAGATAATGTTAGAGAAAAACTCTTTGTTCCTTGGCTTTACACTATTATGTGAATTCTCACAAGACACATGAAATTCAGCTTCACTAATTAGTTCAAACCTACATAGAGAAAAATGCCAGGTGGATAAAGAAGAAATGGAGAAGGCAAGTTTCATAAAATAGTCATGACATAACTTCATTAAAATAAATGTCATACAGTCACATGTACAGCAAAGAAACATAGCATCCCATACCCTCATAACATTATGGAGCTTTTCTTTATTTTTTTTCTTTTAAGCTGTACATCTCTTACACCTGTCTTTCCTCGGCGTTATAGACAAAGGCCTCTTTCTGAGGACATTTAGGAGACAGCAGAGAGAAAGCTGGAGGACACATGGAGGAGACAAGGGAAAGCACCTGGCTGGGGTCTGCAGACCCGCCAGCTCTGCATGGCTTGATTCTTGGTTTTAAGAGGGCAGCCTAACATGTCCGGGTGCATTACACATACAGGTTTGTTTGTTTTTAAGACTGTGCTCTTTAGAGGGAGCTTTACCACCTTTCATTCTATACCACTATTTCTTCACTTAGCAATATGTAAGGCAAAGCCAGAGATTGTTGTGTGATTGATATCTTGACTGTTTTCTAACAATAAAGCTGCTTGGAGACAGAGGGCAGAGCTAGCCACTAGCTGACCAAAAATTAACCATAGAGGTTTTGGAGGACTGAGGACAAACAGGAAACAGGAAGTAGTAAGGCGGGGCTGAAAGAGAATCTCAGCCTTTTGGATGGAGGAACAGAAGAGATAGGAGGTCACTACTGGCTGCTCTGCTGCTTCTCTGACTGTGTAGGTTCTTAGCCCAATATCTGACTCCCAGTTTTTATTGATAAAGTAAATGGAAGTGTTTCCAAACCCCAGGCATCTTGCAATTACAGTCTCTGATGTGGCAAGTCACCTCTTTGATGGATAGACACTCACTTTACTGCTTGAGACATGTTCGTCAACATCTTCATCCAAGCAGATCAGGTCCCCCTCCACCACTCTGGACCCATAGGCTGCAAGTCTGTAAGACGCTGCCTCATTCCAAATCTTGCTGCTGTAGGCATGGACGTAGAATATGCGCATGGAATGAGGAAAAGAGAACCAGGCCTGGATACAGCCTTCCTCTGTCATGCCAAAGCGATGCAGTGACTCTAGCAGAGCCCGCTCTCGAACTCGGAACTCCGGCATCAGTGAGAGTGTGCCTTTGGCGTCCTCTGAAATGTAGAACAAATCAGCTGGTAAGGCACCCTCAATGCAGAGCTACTTGGGGGACTCCTTTTTCAAGCAGTCTGAATGAGAGGCAATCATTTTGTGGAGACACGGAACACTACTGGTTTAACCCGGATATACTTTTAAAAGCTGGCTTGTTTTGGTTTTTTTGTTTGTTTGTTTTAACTTTTATTTTCTTTGAAAAATAAGAAAAAGCAAGCGAGCCTAGCATTAGGAACAGCTGGCCAGACCAGACTCCTTTCCTCAGAACAGAGTTAATCTAATTCAGAAGACTCATCACCAGGGACTAAATAGGCTGGTAAGCTGGACGAGCCTCAGTTTCTGAAGAACTGTTATGGACACAGAGTAGAATGGCAGATGAAGAGATCACAGCAATCTCTATCCTAGCTAATGGGTTTTAAGACGTGTATTGCTGAACTCCAATGATTCTTATGGTGCTGGGTGCTTCTTGGGAGCACTAAGGCTTCGGAATCACTGGCATGGGGATTATCTCCTCAGACTCCACAAGAGAAACAAATCATACACAGACAGCAAAGCCACAGCTTATCTGCTGCCACACTCAGAATCAAAATCGTGTTTCTTTAGTGCACCTGCAAAAATGCTATACACACACATCAAACTCAAGTTTCAGAGAGGAGTCAGGAATCCACGACAGCCCCTCAGAAACAATCCCTAAAGGACTTGATATCACAGATGAACTTCACTCAGCTGGAGGCTTCTCTGGTTGCTGTGGCCCTACTACCATCAGCAGCAGTGTGGAGTGGAACTCCTCCTCCCATAGGACATCAGAGGAGGAAAACTAAGGAAATACTTCCTACCTCTCCTTACCCCCAAAGTACAGTTAGGATAGGCAAAAGTCCAAGCAAGCAGCCCAAAATGAAGTACCTGTGTCAGGCAGTCCAATCACTCAAAATGCAAACTACTACCCATTTGTTTCTTCAGCCTAACAGTCTCCAGCCACTTCCACTATGTCTTAGTGTGTGCATCTTAAGAAAAAGCCCATGTAGGGTGTTTGTGTTTCTGTCTACATTATTATAGATGAATAAAGAAACTGACATACCAGTTTGAAGAAAGTATTCCTTTGCTTTATTTACAGGATCATCCACATCTTCTGGTGTAAGAAATAATTTTATGGCCTTCACCTTGAAAAATTAACCAAGTAAACGGGTTTTAAAAAATGGCAAATTACTTTTTTTTTAAAGATGGAAATTCTTGGGCATCTGGAAAGGGCAGAAAGTGTTGCTTCAATTTCTTCATTAAGGTTTCAAGTCTTAACCAGTTTCACATATAGAGATAACCCTCCCATATAAACTAAAAGCAACTACAATGAACCATTCTACCGGAAAAGTCCCCTCCTCAAGCATTTCATGCCTATCATTCTTTATTCAGCCAATATATAAACAGGAATGTAAAGTGATGACTTAAATACTCAAACTTGGCCAACACATGACAAAAACAGCAAAGGAATCAGGACTACCAAGCCATTAGTTTCACTTATATTCTCAAGTTCTTTGAAATTTTGGTTCTTAAAAACTAAGGCCTTTTGACCAAGTTATATCCTTGTTTCTTACACTGCCAGTAGAGGGTAATTCTGCAACTATAAATTATTGACTGTTGTTAATTGCTAATAAATTGTATCATGTGTGATCCTTCCATAAAAAAAAAAAGTTAGGTCTGGCACGATGACTCGGTATATAAAGGAGCTTGCCACCAAGTTTAGTCTCCAGGACTGAAAGAACAGACTTTGGCAAGTTGTCTCTGACCTCCACACTTACAAAATCTAATAAAGTGTCAACTTTAATATTTTACTTGACATTTTAATAGTTTATTTTAAACCATACACATATGTTTATTTTTTAATTTAAAAAAGGTATCCACTTAATTAGTGTTATTTTATCACTGGGATTTATTTCTGAGTATGCCGTTCATGGTATGAAAGCAACTTAAAACAATTCATTCATCCCAATTTCCATTTCATCATCTTCTACAGTATCCAAAAAAATATTCATAAAAAGTTAATACATCTATGGAGGTTGACTTTCTGTCAGCTTGAGACATGCCAAAGTCACCTGGGAAGAGGGAGGCTAGTTAAGAAAATGTCCCCATCAGATTAGCCTATGGACAAGTTTGCAGAGCATTTTCTTGATTAATGATTGATATGGGAAGGCCCATCTCATCTCACTGTGGGCAGGTGGACCTTCATTACATTTAAAAAAAAAAAAGCCATGGGAGCAAGTCAGTAAGCAAGTGCTCCACCATGGCCTCTGTTTCAGTTCCTACTTCCATGTCCCTGCCTCCAGTTCCTGCATTAGCTTCCTCTGATAATGGACTATATAACTTGTACGTATGTCAAATCAACCCTTCTTCCTCAGGTTGCTTTTGGTCATGGAATATTAGCATAGCTATAGGAAGCAAACTAAGACAACAGCCAGGCAAATGTTAAGCTTCTATCACATGCTGAGGACTGTGTGGGATGTGATGGGTAGAGCACTATCTACAGGAAAAGACTGAGCAATTTCAATGACATAATCAGAACAGAATAAGATGAGAAGTCCCAGATCACAAATCAGTGGACATTTATGGTACAAAATGTAAAGATTAGGGAGGGAGTGCTTTAAGCAAAGACAGAAACTGTGGCAGACCAGCTACAGGAACTGGCCTCCAAGTTAGCGCTCATGATATCCTTTCTTGGTACCCATGCCTGGCACAGTCCTCCCTTACATGTACCAGCTCTAGTTATATGAGCAGAACTCAGCAAAGCTAAAGGTCCATTACTTTGCCTGGTTTGTGGAGCTGCAGGTTACTCAACCAGTGGATCTTTTGTTCAGTTATAGAGTCAAGGGATCATTGGTCAAGTCTATGTCATCTCAAATAAAAGTTAAACACACAGCCACTGTACATAGTTTGCTTTCTTAGACTGTGAATCCAATAATACAGTAGCTGCCATATGATATAAAACATGACACATGTGAACTGGCTTTTGGGAGCCCATTCCCTATGGCAGGATACTTTGTTCAGCCTAGACACAGAGCGGGAGGGCCTGCGTCCTGCCTCAGCTGTGATGTGACACTCTGTTGACTTCCCATGAGAGGCCTCACCCTCTCTAAAGAGTGGATGAGGGGGGCAGTGAGGGAAGGTAGGAGGAGCAGGAGGAGGAGGGGAGGGAGGGGGAACTGGGATTGATATGTAAAGCTTTAAAAAAAGGTTGTTTTTAAAAAAACAAAAATAAAGATAAAAGTGGCTTTCATAGGAAAAAACAGGACGTGTGGTGTGTGTGAGAGTGTATGACATGCACACACATGTAGTTATATGCCATGATTAGGTATGCAATGAACTTATGTAATAAGTATAAGAGTTAAGGTTAAAGTTTTGAAAACTCATACCATTTCATTCTTCAGTAAAGCCAATCCAATTTGGTCTGTTTGAATTTTCCTTCCTTTCCCAAACCTCTGTGGTCCATAGTAATTCACAAAACCTTTACTCTATGAATGTAAAAGAATATAACAAATTAGAACTTCCCAAAAATAATATGCCAAAGTATAATCAAACATTTCTCTTCATATTTAATTGACAAATTCGGTAACCACCAATAATACAGAGGGGCCAAATGGTCTGAGAAATGCTAAACAGTTACACACCAGAAGGAGAATGGGGTAGATGTAAATCAGCCTGTAAACCCTCAGGGACAGTGTGCAAAGGGGAGAGGAAGGGAGGCTGCTGAGAGTCAAAGCCTGCATAAGCTGGGAGACCCTGTCAGGGAAAGCCAAACTAACCCAAAATTTACCACAGGAGACCAATGAAGACCAACCCTTTAAAATAGCCTTCTATTCACAACAGGGAGGGGTCCCTGGCACACATGACCTGATGAGTTCAGCCAAGAGAGGTGGGGTGTACTGGGATAAGGTGAGTCTCATCCCCTCTAAGTTCTTTCTTGTTTTGAAATTCTTCTGCTGGGGGTTGGGGGAGAACATGGTGCAGATTTCTTTTCCCACCCCACAGCTTTGTTCCTTCATGTTATTCACTTATCCTTTCGTTCACCCCGGTTTCTCTCTCTTATTTCCCCAGGAAGGATGACATCACCTCTGGATGCCATACTTCAAAAGCATCATATTACTCAGAAGAAATATGCGATTAAAATTGGTCTGTGTGAAACAGAGAGAGCACATGGAGATAAAGTGAGTATGCCCTATGTTAAGTCGCAGCTTTTTAAAAGTTATTTCAAATTTGTATAAGACAGTGTTGGAAAGCTTAGGATAACTGGAATAATTATCCCTTCAAATTATTAAATATAACTGAAAGTTTATTTAACCAGAGCTCTGACTCTCTAAAAGAAAGCTTCAAGAAACCCTTATTTTCAAGCTACTCAACTTCATTTCTCCTAAAGAGACTTTTAAAGTCTATTGGCTGGTATGGTAGGCAAGGGACTCCCCAGGCATGCCTGATGGCCTGGTTTTGGTCCCTGGAAGCCACAGTAGAAGGGGAAAACTGACTCCTAAAAGCTGCCCTTTGCATGTATGTGCACACACACACACACAGATACATACTCACACATGTGCACTCACACATATACTCACATACACACTCATCTACATACAGACACACACATACACACACACTCAGACACATATATACACACACATGCACTCACACACAGACACACAGACACACATGCAATCACACACGTGCATATACTAACACAGATACAATCACACATACGCACCCACATACATACACACACTCACACAGACACACTACTAAATAAATAAAAAATTTAAGAGAAAGGTGTCTAAAGCTAAGATCATTTCTAATGGGACCTTCTCAACAGGCAGTGTATTTTCATGACTACAAAAACAGACCTGGTCATATATGCTGTCTATCTGTATTCACAGAAATCCCTTCCACTTTTTAAAGTATTGCTTTAGTAAGTTTTCAAAAGGGAAAAAAAGCAGAATTTTTAGGTAGGTCAGTCATGAAAAACAGATCATACACAGAGTATATAATTCAAGAAGTATTACATACAAGTGAAAGTGCTGAATTACAAGATCTTTAGTGGCCATTTCTACACAAGGGCAGATGACTGCAACAGGAACCATAGGCCCACAAAGCCAAGAACATTTATTATTACAACAACAACCATATGCTCACAAAGCCAAGAACATTTATTATCAAGCCCTATAGAGAAATAACACTGAAGGCTATGGTTGTGTGTGCACCTTCAAATGCCTAAGGTGTTACTTAAAATTTAAGGAATGTTGTATGCTGGCCGAGCAGGTTATATATATATGTCCTACTCCAGTCTGTACAAACATAGGTAACAATAATTAAGGAAACAGAGGCCATGGATTTGAGAGGCAGCAAGTAGGGTCTGGTAAAAACGGAAGGGCTGAAAGGAGGAAGACAATGTAATTATGTTTTAATTTCAAAGAATGAAAAAAATTGAAGTAAAAAAAATTAAATGGTTATGATTAAAAAGATGTGTACAACTCTAAAAAGTAAGGTAACTATTTACCCAAGATTTCTGAATTACTGAACAAAGGGGCCACAGTGTGAACCCCATCTACACTAGCACACACTCACTCCTGAGGGAAGATGCTAGGGAGAACCTGTTTCAGAGAGCCTCTTCTGGGGATTAATCCATATACACCCCTGTAGAAGGCTTTCTTTTGAACCACCAACTAGCTCCCAAATCAAGACGTGGAGATGTATTATTATGAATGCTCTGTCTTAGCTTAGGCTTGTCCCACTAGCTCTTATAACTTAATTTAACCTGTTTCTCTTCATCTATGTTTTGCCTCAGGGCTTTTTACCTTTCTTTCATTCTATATGTCCTACTTTTCCTGTTCTTTATGTGTCTAGCTGGCTGGTGGCTCCCTAGCTAGCTTGCTCCAGGTATCTCCCTCCAGTACCTAGATTTCTCCTACTTATTCTCTCTGCCCCACCTATCAATCTTCTATCTAGCTCTTGAGCATTCAGCATTTTATTAGATCAATTAGGTCCTTTAGGCAGGCAAGGTGAAGCAAATGTAAACATCCTTGCATAGTTAAACAAATGCCACATAAACAAATGTAACACACCTTTACATAGTAATATTCTGCAACATAAAAAAATGTAACACATCTTTACATAGCTACAGTAATATTCTACAACAGTTTCTTTTAATTTATGTTTATTTTTGTTTTAATATAAAACATGAAAGCAAAATAAGGCAACACTTAATTATCATTTTAGAAATTAATTATATATGCATGTTACAAAAACAATCTTTTTAATCTGAGAAGATTATAGAGATTTTCCTGTAATACAATTTCAAAATTGTGTTTTCTGACCTTAACATTTTCTATTGCCTCCAAAATCCTCTCACTCAGACTTGCAGAATCATTTGTTTGATTTTTTAGATTTCTGATGACAATTTCAAAGTGATTTCCTTTGAGCTGACCAAGTCTGAGAGAATCACCTACAGACCGGATATTAAACACATTCATTCTCTTCTTTTTAATTTCTTCCTCAATATTTTTCAACCTAGAAGTGATAAATCATATAATCAGTTAAATCTTGATCTAAAAACAATTATATATTTAGAACAAGCTTTAAAATGATAGTTGCCAGGGGACTTTCAAAATATAAGTACAATGGGATGCTGGAGAGATGGCTCAGTGGTTAAGAATCCAGAGGACCCAGGTTCGATTCCCAGCACCTAGTTACAGGGGTTCCAATACCCTCTTCTGGCCTCTACAGGCACCAAGTGACATATAGACATACATGCAGGCAAAACATCCATGTACATTAAATAAATATGTAAAACAGTTTGGTAAAATTGTAAATTAATGTTAGTGAATATACACTATTCACTAGTACAGGAGTAGACTCAGAGGGTTAGTTTGGCAACATGAGCAGGTGTTTCAGCCATCTGCCTTCTCCTCAGCTCCAGGAGCAGAGCCTCCCAATGGTCATCCTGTCCTAACTTGCCCCTTTCAGTGTCTCTCCCAACATCCATGAGGAAGAGAACCCATCATTTATCATTGCTTCTATTCTTCCTACATGTTAACTATTAACAACAAAAGCTTTATCTTACAATACCATTTATATTTTTTCTGGGTTTTTGGACTGCTATTTTTGCTTATTTGAATAATTACAAATGGAATAAAAAAAATTTTTTAAAACAAAAAAAAAAAAAAAGAAAGAAAGAAGAGAACCCACTGGCATCAGTGATGCTGCTCTGCAACTTCCTCACTCAAATGTTCAGTTCTCTGCCAACTTTAAAAAAAAAAAAAACAAATTTCAGGGTCATGTTTTAAAAGAGCCAGCATCAATTTTTCTTTATATATATATATATATATTTTTAGTTCTTATAAAAATTGCCTGTGTTTATTTGGGAGACTGCTTGTTGTCCCTCTAAATAATTTCTTGATTTCCAGATCCACTAGATATTATTACTTAAGGGTACATGAAATTCCACACCCATGGGCCAAATCAAGGTCATCTCTTTGCTCTTCCTAGGAACTAATAATATTTATTGCCTTTGGTTGTTAAAAATTAGCTTTTGTCTTAACAGTGTGCTATAATGTAAAAAATAAACTAATTTTAAAAAAGGAAAAAAAGAATGCATTTAAGTGTGGGCTTATAATAAAAGCACTATAATAATTAAGAAAAAGATTTATAAATTTTGTGTCTTCAATTATCCTTTTCTGAATGCAAATGCTTATTTGAAAATAGTATCAGATGTTTATGAACAATTCAGAAAACTTGAAATCTATCACTTGTCAATTGCCATCCCAAAATTTCCTATTTTCTCTAAGTTTTTTTTCTTTGATTTGTGTGTGTGTGTCTTGTGCAAGGGGCCAGGAAATGCCAGAAGAGGACACTGGATCCCTTGGGGTGGACTACAGGCAGTTGTAAGCCTCCCATCATGGATGCTGGGAACCAAACCTGGGTCATCTGGAAGAACAGGAAGTGCTTTTAACCCCTGAGCCATCTCATCAGCCCCAAACTTCATATATATTCAATGCACATTTACGCATACACTGAAGACAATTATTTTATTAATATAGAATGTGCTGTTTGGTATAATCAGTTAGGTAATATTGATAATAAGGATAAGCTGTTTCCATCTTATTTTGCATTTTAACTTTATACTTTACTAGAAAGCAATGCCATATTACCTCTGTGGAGTCACTTTTCTGACAACCATCGATTGATAGGTGATTGCTTTCTTGTCTTTAAGGCCGGCGTAACTGAAATCTGAAGGTATGACACCAAGCTTGATGGCTAAAACACCAATTGCTTCAAACATCTCCAGATTTTCCTTCTGTAGGGTAAAAGCTGAAACAAAAAGATTACAAAAAGAAGACGCCATCCATAGTTATGTTCTTCACAAACTAGCAGGTTAGGATAATGAATCTAAAATGAAGTGTTGCACCACAGAGCTCATCTGTCATTGTTGGCTTCTTAAAAGTACACATTAAAAATTCACATCATTTTCCTGTGCTTATAGGACCACCTTCCAGTTTCCATGGGGACCATTTTCATTCAGATATCCTAAATTTCAACACATAAGACTCCTGATTTGTCACATTTCTATTCAATCTTCAGAATCCAATAACTGCCATCCTGCTTCAAATGCTTTTCAGGTTCCAAGACTGAATGTTCCATAGTAAGGGCTGTGCTTATGTTACAAATCATTACGTGATCGTGATTGTCTATATTAATAGTAGTCAATCATAAAAACAAAGCAAATTATAGTTGCTGGGAACTGAAAGGAAGAAATGATTATTCAGTTTATATTAATGCCAGAATAGGAAAATGATAAGACTCAGGAAATTAATCTTAGTGATGGTGTCACACCAACATAAATGTCCTTTATTCCATTAAAGTGTATACTTAAGAATAGCTAAAATAGAGCCAGGCGGTGGTGGCACACATCTTTAATCCCAACACTTGGGAGGCAGAGGCAGGCAGATTTCTGTGAGTGTGAGGCCAGCCTGGTCTACAAAGCGAGTTCCAGGACAGCCAGAGCTACACAGAGAAGCCCCACCCACCCCCCAAAAAAGGTGGGCTGGAAAGATGGATCTGCCATTAAAGGCTAGGCTCACAAAGAAATCCTCAAGAATGGATAAAATGGTAAATTCTACAGAATATATATCTTACTGTAATTTTCATAAACTTTTAAAGGATAGTAAATTTATTACATAAATACACAGATATATATGTATGAATGCATGGAGGCAGAGGAAATTTTAACATGAACTATTTTGATTCTTACAAAAAGTCCCATAAGCAAAATCACTTTCTGTTTTTGGACACCGATATCTTCACATAGTCCTCTTGGTGAACCATTAATTCTAACTTCAATAAAACTAATTTAGACTCAATATATGAAAATATTCCCATGTCTTGATTCATTATCCCAAACCATTGATACTGTGTCAATTAATATAAAAAGTTAGAAGCCCTAAAGCTACTTAAACAGGGCAGCAGTTCTCTTGCTGTAAGTAAACCTATATTTACTTTTCCTTCAAAATAGATGAACTTATCCAGTATGGCTTTCCCCATGTTTATATTTGTGGATGCTAAGCTTCAAGTAATATGAAAGATTTACTAAGTCCAAAGGGTTTAAACATGCCTGTGGTCCCAGGACTTGAGAAGCTCGAGTTTGGGAATCAGCCTCCACACATGAGTCATCATGCCTCAAGAAAAGCAACAGCTACAGGTGTAGCCCAGGGTTAGAGGGCAAGCCTTGCAAACACAAGATCTTTATTTCAATCCTGGGCAATGCAAAAGAAATTTCACCCATGTCATTGTGAACTAATGCAATGTAAAATCAACCCCACATCACTCTTACTTAGGCCAGAGTCCCCATGTAACACGTTCCTTTTCCAGTGTCACATGCATGTCTGAATGCTGTTAAATGTCTGCTAAATGAATGTTTAAGACATGACCATCAGAAACACTTTCTATCCTTCAAGTAAGATATACAGAACAATTAACCCTGGACTTGTACTCTGACATTTCATCAGATCCATCCAGCCTAGGACCTCCTAATAGTCCCAAAAGCAGCAATTCTGAATCATGAGCATATATGGGAAGCCTGATGAGCCAAGTGTGCAGGCCTCCATCTTACATTACAGAGAATATTTTTGTCCTTTCCAAAGGATGACAGTATATCCATCTTATCTCCAAATACTTAATTATAGGTAAGATTATTCTGAAAACAGAAAAATTACTACTCTCGAAACCATTCAAATACAAAACCATTGCTTCAACTTTATACATGTGTGACTGTTAGCTGTAAATGTCTTAAGTAATTAACTTTCACATTTAGCACTATTTGCAAGGCTTCATCTTTCTCCAAATAATCAGTCCATATATTCTTTACAATAGCTCTATGACCAGGCCTATTTATCCAAATTATTCACCTTTCACAAATTTTATGCAAGAAAATGATGATTTACAAAATTACCTGTATATACAGCTTCTCTTCTCTCGCACTCAAGACGAGCTCTCTTTCCATGTGAACGTGCTTTTTCCCGGAACCTCACGGTTATGGCTGTGTTTGCATTCCCAGCACTGTGATTCAGCTCAGAAAAAGACTTGGTTTCCACAAGGTTTCCAAACTTCTTGTTGAGAAAATGGTGCACAGCTTTCCTGTGATCTTTGTTCTTGTCAGGTTTAAAGGTAAACTTGGAATTTTCTTTCTTTGCATCCAAATATTTGAAAAAACCAAGTGCTTCCTCTTCAGATACCAAATGGCAGAGTTCTTTATACTCAGGATTTGGTTTTACAATGATTTCACTGCTTTTTCCTATGGTTATCAAAAAAGGAAATTTCTGCCTAACGGCACTGTGTAAAACAGCCCTTTGGCTTTTGTCAAGGATCCTACCTAGAGAGAGTTCCAGAGATGGTTCAATTAACTCAGTTTTTGAATTCCACATCCCTTTGATGTCACAGGCAAACTGCTCCAGCAATGTATGAGTTTTTCCATCTAAAAGTGAACTTAATAAGTCAACATTTTCTTTTTCACATTTAGAAGTCACACCATTGACACTGTCTTCTTTATGTAAGCCAGATTGATGACTCTCCTCACCATAAGAGTACCCAGTCAAGTTAGTGGCTTCTTCTTCACCTTCATGGTCTAAGGATACATCTTGAATATTTAGCTTTGGCTTTTTGACCAAATGACTTGGCTCAGATTGTGTTTTACTAATTTCATAAACAGATTCATCAATGGCCTTGCTGACTAATTGTCCCCGTTCATCAATCTCAGTGACAACAAAGTCACGTGGGAAGGTTTTTATAGTGCCCTGAAATCCAACATGATCACTAATGAAACATAAGGAACTAAACCTCATTCCACCATCCGTGTCCTCTTCCATTCTAAACAATGCCTACAAAGGAGACAAAACAAGTCAGCTACCAGAAACACTTACAGGTAAGAATAAAATATGTTTGCAAAATCCATTCAGTTGCCTTCCTCTTAATTCTATATTCACTAAAAGACACTCATACCTTATTTATGAATATATGTGTGTATCCTGCTTTCATATAGCAAGCACAGTTAACAGGCCAACTACCTATAGCCAAAGTAGTGGTTTGTATCTTGATTTCCCATTCAGTCCAAGCTTCTATTATGCAGAATTAAAATGGCTCAGCAGTCAATCAAACTTGTTCTTACAGAGGACCCCAGTTCAGTTCTCAGCACCCACATGGCAGCTCACAACCATCCCTAACTCCAGTGACAGGGGATCTGTTGCCCTTTTCTGACCTCTGCTGCACCAGGCACACCTGCGGTGCACATGTGTACATACATGCAAAATGCATACAACAAGGGCTGCAGAGATGGCTCAGAGGTTAAGAGCACTGACTGCCCTTCCAGGGGTCCTGAGTTCAATTCCCAGCAACCACATGGTGGCTCACAACCATCCGTTATGAGATCTGGTGCCCTCTTCTGGTGTGCAGATATACATGGAAGCAGAATGTTGTATACATAATAAATAAATAAATAAAATCTTTAAAAAAAACCCATACAACAAAAAAAATGTATTAAAAAGGCTTAAATAAAAAAAAAATAAAAAGTGGGTCAATTTCAAGTTCATCTGAAAAGAGAGAACAGGTCTGTTGTGTCATTCTGGGAGCCTCAAGATCTCCTGGATCTAATTCCAGAGACACTGTGGTGATATTTTTATACATTGGAAGTTAGACCATGAGGAAGAATAAGACAGAAAAGTCTACAGTAAATAGGTGTGAGAAGTTCTCTGTACACTTAAAGGTTGGCTTAAGGCAGTCCTGGTCCTGCAGCTTTCTCTAAATTCCCTATAGGAAAGATTCAAAATTCTCAAGCTGATGAGAGGAAATTTCTACCCAATCACTGCACCAGAGTAAAGAAACCCTTATAGAGTTTCCTTGGAGTGGTGACAGAAGAGCAATTCTACAAGGAACCCCACAATCCCCATACCACTATCACATATCACATGGAGCTGTGGGAAGCAGCTTCACTTCTTGGCTCTTGTATTTCTCATACTTTACAAGCACTTTGTCATTTTGATCTAAACTATTTAACCCCTGACCTCAGTGCCTTCCATTGGGCCATGTACAAATCACAGTGAATTCTCTATATCACCATTTTCACATTTAGTTTTCTTAATTTTTAAATTCCCTGCATCCCCTGCATTCCATGCCCTAATTGAACCCTACAGATTTCTCTTCTTCCTTCCCTCAGATTCTGGGAAGGGGGCACTTTTTTTTTTTTTCTTTCAACCTATGTATCTTAAAATCTGAAGGTTAGAAACATGGCCTGTTTTTTTTTTTTTTTTTTTTTCTTCTTCTTTCCAAACAGGTTCTTTCCCTTCTGCCTTGGTTCCTTTGCAGACCTTGTCCCGGGCTTTACCATCTTCCCACATCCTCCCTGGTAACTCCTTCACTGAGACTCCATTCTCTTGAGCAGAACCTCTCAGTCACCCATGTGGATCATGTTTCTAGCTCGATCCCACGCTCCCTCCCTCGCTTCCTCAGCCTCAGGCCTCACTCTATTCCAGCCATCTACTCTCATGATCGGTCTTACTTTCTCATCACCAAGAACTTCACCACCTATAGAAGTCTGATTTCCTAATTGTGGTCTTTTGAAAGGAAATGGCCTCCAAAGGGAGTGGCACTATTAGGAGGTGTGGCCTTGCTGGAGGAAGTGTGGCACTGTGGTGGCAGGCTCTGAGGTCTCTTTTGTCCAAGCTTCCCTCAGTGTGACTGTTGGTAGACTTCCTGTAGCCTATAAGCTGTAGGGTTCTCAGCTGCTCCAGCGCCACGTCTGCCTGCACGACACCATGCTCCTGGCCATTATGATAATGGACTCGAACCTCTGAAACTGTAAGTGAGCCCCCTCAATTGTTTTCCTTATAAGTTGCCATTGTCAAAGTGGTTTTTTTTTTTTTCACATCAATAAAAAGCCCTAAGACACTGATCAACCCTATTTTACCATTCTTCAACAGTTCCAGCTCCCAAATTCTTAAGCATTATGGCATCCTTTTTACTCTTTCTGTTCAGTCAACTCTTATCTACTATGTGTACTACCCAAAATACTATATTAAAAGGTAAACCACCCAACAAGTGTTTAAAACCCCTATTATTACATTTACAACAAAGTCTAAACTATCTACCCAAAGATTTTGTATCCTGTCTATTCTGAAGTATGATGTACCTGTATCCCATGGTTACACTGGCTGTCCTCACTACCTTTGTAGTAACTTCCTGCTCAATCTTTTAGGATTCACTTTCTCAGAAGTTTTCACTGACCAATAATCTAGCCTATGGGAACCTGTATGCCAATTTCTTTCACAAAAACCAGATTTCGTTTTCTGAATGGAAAGTGTTTTTATTATTTACTGTCCATCTTCCTCAAGTTAGTGTCAATTCCACATGAGCAGGAATTGTACCTTACTCAGCACAGATTAGCCCACATTTAGAACAGCACTAAGCACATAATAGATGACCACAGACAGGCTGCAATTAATATTGGTTGTTGGAAAAAAACAACCAGATCACAGTAAGAGCTGTAACAGTGATGAGGAAGATGGAAGAGTTAACTTTTGTTTGTGATAACCAGGAATGGTATAATAAATTGCTATTTAAGTCTTTTAAAATAGTTCAAGAGACAGAAGTGGGGCAGAAATACCACATGCAAGTACAAACAAAAGGGCAATGTGTGGGAGAGAAAATGCCCTAACACAGCAGTGGGAAGAGGGAGTAGGGTGGAAGTTTTGGAGAAAACAACTGAAGATACAGAACGCTCTGTCGAAGGTTGGAATCGGCCTTTTGGAGGTGTTTCTAAAATGACTGATGGAATTCTGAAATCAGGGGTCCACAGCCCTAAGGAATCCTAGAGACTCTAGGAAAGGCAAGATCATAGGAAGGCTTTCTAGGCTAGACGAGGGGACTGTGGGGCGACTAAGGTACTCCAACAGCTAGAAAAGCGATGGAATGCAAAGGCGAGCGGACCGCGAAATGTGGGCTAGGCTGGCAGGCGCTCCTCCGCTGATCCTCAGGGCGAGCCAAGGCTGCGGTGGGACCCAGTCCTGGAGAAGGGCTGGAGGCTGGCTCCCTGAGACACACACACACACACACACACACGCGCGCGCGCGCGCGCCACCCTGCTCCCGCGGCTTTCGCTTAGCCTTCCTCTCCCCTCCAGGCCTCGCGCCGCCCCTATCCATGCCGCCCTTCTCGGGGCCACCAGCTTCGGATCTTCCACGTCCACCCCTCTTAGACCCACGCAGACCCAGCATCCCACTAGACTAACCCGCTCTACCTCGCTTCCAAAAGAAAGCGGTCCTCTCGTGTAGACAAAGTGCGCATTCCCGGAAGCCTTCGCCTGCCCAGCCTCCCACAGAGACATTTAAAGGGACAGGCTCCCGTTTGTGTCCTTCCTCCCTTGATGGAGAGCCGCCCATAGGCACCTTGAGCAATAGAGGGCGGGGAGAAGGAGGCGTGGCCTTCCGGGTTGATCCCGCCCCTACGCTCTCATCCTGGGACTGCTCGCGCCGCTGTCCCGCACGGATCTGGTGTCCTGGAAAGCCTTTTCACCTTGTCGCAGACCGTCTGAAGTCTTCATCGTGGCCCCGCGCGACCTCCCCTCCCGAGTCCTCGCGGGACCGTGGCGGGGCGCCGGTCGCCTTGTGCAGAAAGCGAGGGACGTCAGAGAGGAAGTAGGTTGTACGATCGGGCGAGGAAGGCTGATCTCAGGCCACGACCTCGCTGCCATCCTCTATCCGGGCCCGGTTCGCTACCGGCTCGCCTCACCCCCGGACCCGGGAGTGGGCGCACCTCCTCAGAGGCGTGGGGAGCCCCGCAGCCTCTGCGTCGCGCGGGTCCGCTGGTGTCTTGCTTGCTCGCAGTGGGGAGTATAGGAAGCTGTGTGTCACAGTCCATCAACAGGTGGAGGGAGGGATAAGCGCAGCACTGCTTGGAAGCCAGAGAAGAGCAGAAAGAGCAAAGTCCAAGAGAGGGGAAAAGCTCCGGTTGCTTTCGGAATGGACACAGTGCCCCCGAAACAAGATTTTAAAAATCCGACTTTTCCGATCCTGGGAGTAATCCTTCAAGACATACGTCAAAGAGCTCAGGTTTCTTTTATTCTCCTATTTTCATGCTAAACATTTTTGCTACCTACATGTTCCAGACTGACCTGATTTCCGAGACCAAACTCAGGCCTTACACTCTTGTATTGTTTCTGGCCCAAGCAGAAAATCCTAGTGCGATCTTCGCACTCTACATCAGTAGACTTCTGTGGATTGCCCTGCAGAATACATCTAGCACTGGGACGCTAGAGCCCCTTCATACCTTCCACGTAAATTTTTTGTGCACCCTTCTAGTCGCCTCTTGCTGTTTCTTTGTCCTTATGCTCTACACCCTATTGTCTATGGAAACCTCCACTTTTGCATTGAATATAAAACTGTCTGCACTCGTCTCAGAAAGTCCACTGTCTGTTCTCTCAACTCAGAAGATAATCAAGTCAGTTTAAAGGTTTAAGGCCCTGGAAGTCCAATCCCTCATTTCTAATCTGCTCCTTGTGCTGGTCCGTGGACGCTGTTAGGTCTCACACCCAAGACAAAAGGCTAACTGAGGCAGATGCTAGCCACCAGGTTCTCCCAGCATCCCTCAGTCCCTACCTCCAGTTCCTGGCATACCCTGCCCCCTTACCCTAAACTCTGGGTACCAGCCCAACTACTGGGCTTCCCATCCCCCAGCTCCTCTGGCCCCTGTGTAACAGTCATTTGGGCTATGCCAGTCTCTGAGACCAGGCCACCACATTTGGTAGGCAACTCCTCTTTTGTTCTCTGCCCCCCTCCTCATATGGTCAGGCTCAGTTTGGCCATGTTCTCTCTGGACTGTCCCAGATGTCTCTGCCTCTACCTCTGCCTTTGCCGCTGGCTATGCTCTCTCTCACATCTACAATAAACCCCTTAGGAATAGTCATACCCTCCCCTTTATGTCTTTCCTTCATTCTCAAGTACCTCCAACTTCTGTGCCTATTACTCATTTCCTCAGAACTTTTCCCAGCAGACATCCCACTGATTAGAGTTCTCATTCCTGTGTCTTTCGTCAAGATCTCTTGAGGCCCATAGTGACTAACCCCTTTAAAGTTGCAGCCCCTTGTCTCTCAATCTGCCACTGTCTTATTTACCTCTCTGTTACTGTGAAGGAAAAAAAAAAAAAAACACTATGACCAAGGCAAGGCTGAGTGTAGGATTCTAGAGGGACAAGAGCCTACACCAAGCAGACAAAACAAATGAGATGCAGCACCAGCTCAGAGTTCACCTCTTGACCCACAAGCAGGAAGCAGAGCTGCCTGGGAATATCCCAAGTCTTGAAACCTCAAAGCCAGTAACACACTTCCAGTAACACTTCCTCATCCTCCCAAACAACCACCAAATGGGAACCAAGTATTCAAATGGGGGAGACTTAGGAGGGCCTTTTCCTTCAAATCATCACAGATACCATTTAACATAGGTAAAATGCATTCTTAGCTTGCTACCTTCTTCCTCCATTAGAATAAAACTTCCTTGTGTTCTTGTCTCCCTTTTCTCTCTATTTATCTGGATTAATGTCAATATCAATGACAAATAGGACACTTTTTTGGTGAATGGATGACAGTATATTCAAAGCATTTTAAGTTGCCACTGAAGTAAATCTGAATAGGAAACATGGGTGTTGCCCGTGGCATCTAAAAGGTCTTTTTGCAGATGTATCAGGGACACAAATGGAGCTGTTGTAGGATGAGAGTCACTGGAAGAGCTGATGTGGAACATTTTTGTTTGGGTATAGGGGAACGTTCAGTAAGTAGAACATTCAAAAGATGGGGCAAAAAATGTGAGTTTGAGGATAAGAAGGAGGAAAGGAGTGATGGAGGGGAGGAGCCAGAGTGGGAGGGAACCAAATGCCTTTATACAGGAGGAGACTTGCAGTTGGGTTTTTGTCTGAATTCAGTGTCTTTGGACCCCATCACAAATCACTTAGGATTCGCTTGTGCCTAAGCAGCTTTGCTCATAGGGGAGGGCACAAATTTCATCCTTAGCAGTCAGATCTAGTCTTTTTAAATGTTGAAGTACTGCAGTAGCTAAGGAGTTGACCTGGTCCTGAAGGATGTTAAGCTGATCTGAAAATGCTGTAAGTGTCTCTGGTATCTGGTGAGACAGAGAAGTTAATTGATGCAAAAGGGGCTTCAGTCCAGCTGTTTTAGTTCTGAGTCCTGGAAACAACGCCCAGGGTGGCAAAAAGAGGGATAAGATGGCTTATTAGTTCCCCCCTCGGAGGTCACCCAAACTGCTCTGCAGGGGGAGGGGGACTTAGGGGCACTGATTTCAATGGCTTCAAGCTGACAAAAATGAATGATGTTAAGGGATCACAGTTAGGGAGTCTCAGAGGAGGATCCATTCAAGGAGCCACAATAAAACATGACAGATGGGAAACATTCAAAACGTAAGTTGGGAGGTAATAACTGTACAACCTTGTGTAGGGAGAGTTTTTCTATCCCACCAGGCAGCTGTGTCCCACCAACCAGCTCCCAAATAACCACACAGAGATTTATTATAAATGCTCAGCTGATAGCTTAGGCTTGTTGCTAACTAGATCTTACATCTTAACCCATATTTCTTATGCCACGTGGTGGCACCTTTTCTCAACACGACATGTTCATCTCCTGCTTCCTCTGCGTCTTGCTGGCGACTCCTCATCACTTCTCCTTTCTTCTTCCCAGTGTCCTCTTTGGCTCTCTCACCTAACTTCTTCCTGCCTAGCTATTGTCCATTTAGCCTTTTATTATGCCAATCAGAAGGTGCCCTGGCAAAGACACATCTTCACAGTGTACACAAAGATTATTCCATAACAACCTTGTGGGACTATTAAGAGGCAAAGTTAAAGAAGAAAAATTTTTAGATCAAGATTAACCTAAGTTTTGTTTGCTAAGGTTAAGTGATCAGTTGTTTCTAGGTCTGTGATGAGGGGGAACTTCATGACAGAGAGCACATAGTGGGACAAATCTGCCTACTTATGGTGTGGGAAAGGGCAGAGAGAAGGAGGAAGGAAAGAAAAGAAATAGCAAGGGGAACAGAGTCCAGGCCCATCAAGAGGAACATAGCCAGTGAGCCTTTTCATTGAGGTAGGTCCTACCTCCTAAAGTTACCACCAGTTCCCAATATCTCATTAGGCTATGAATCCATCAATGGATGAATATATTGATAGATAATAGGAGAGACTTCATGATCCTAACACCTGCCAAATGCACCCCCAACATAGAACACTACTATGTTAGGAACAAAGCCTTTAAAACAAGAGCTTATGGGAGCTATTTCAAATCCAAACCATACTGTCCAATATCAGTATCTATAATGTATAAGTTGCATTAATGAATAGAATGAGTTTGGTCCTTAACTCATGAAGCTGACAGTCTAATGGCAGAGACAGGTGGTAAACAAGCAACTAATTATAAATTAATTATGCAGGGGTGAATTATAATTAGGTATGGGAAAAAAATCAACTTATGTACATATGATAGACATTGAAGGCCAGAGAGACATGAATGCTAGCATAGACACTTATATACAGACAAATGTATTTTTTACTGTTTTATAGCTTTTATATTTTGCACCATTTGAATATATGATTTACTCCCAAGATTAACTGTATTTAAAAAATGAACACATACAGAAAAATCCTTGAGATAGGAGTCTGTTTCTCTTGATTAACAGGAAGGAAGGAAGGAAGGAAGGAAGGAAGGAAGGAAGGAAGGAAGGAAAGAAAGAAGGAAGGATTATTGTCTGTTGAGAATGAGGGACAGAGAAAGCACAGAGAGAGGTAAAAGTAGGAAATGGCCCCAAAAGACATGGAGAGAAAAGAAAAAGGTTAAGTGCGTGCTGGAGGCCCAATGGAAAGGCGGTTCTCATCAGTCTATCCAGTAGTCTACGACTGAGCTCAGCAGCTCTGTGTACAAGGAACACTGGGAGGTGTCTCTTGGCTGCAACCTCCAAGGTGGAATACTAGGAAACAGGAGGGTTGATCAAATAAAGGCCCTATCATGAGAGGAGCCACAGAGGTGGCCATGGATTCCACTGTGCAGAAAACAGTTGTGCCGACCTCAGGCTCAAAACTGTTCGAGGTTCTTTGTGTGAGACATGAAAAGTAGGTGGATGGGTATGCCTTTAATGCTATATAAATTAGGGTTTTTTGTTGTTGTTTGTTATCAAAGAGGTTGCATAAAAAATGTTAACAGGAGATGCTGGAGGGATGGCTCAATGCTTAAGAGCCCTTGCTGCGGAGGACCCAGGTTCAGCTCCCAGCATCCATATGGTGGTTCATAGTCATCAAGAACTCTAGTTCCAGACCATCTGGTACCTTTTACTGACATCTGGGGGCACCAGACCGGCACATGGAGCACATACATACATGCAGGCAAAATACTCATATACATAA